ATTTTGAGCAAATAATTTATAAATAAATAAGTGTTTATGTTTTCTAAAGTATTTTCAAAGTTTTGATCAAGACTAGTATGGGTTTAAAGATTGAAAATGCACTGGGAAGCTATTTTTGAGAAATTTAGAATTCTAGAATTTTACAGACCGCTCGAGCGGGATAACTATCGCTCGAGCGCACAATGAAGGCTTCCAGTACTTTTACAGTCTTTACAGACCTCTCGAGTGACTAAAGGTTCGCTCGAGTGAACAACTATTTTCAACACATTTTAGGAAATTGCATTTAGTTCATATTTTTATTCTTATCTCTTTCCAAAGCATTATAAACATGACTTATGGCTCAATAAAGATTAATAAGCTAACAATCAACATTAATTAGTTGATTAAAGACTAAGTCATTAACTTAGTAGTAATTGACTAAAAAGCCAAGTAAGAAATTGGTTTATTCAGAAAAGAATGATTTAGTAATGAAAGAATATGTGAAACGAGAACCCGATTCATTTGACTAAAGAAAGAATAAGCGTAATAGACCTTCGGATTATTTAGACAGAAGACAAGAGAACTCAAGTTTGATCAAGGAAGTAATATTGTATTTCGATATGTATATGTTATGTGTTTGCGTAAGTCACACGTTATTGTCTGCCTGATCTGCTTCTGCAGCTATCTGTAAGTAATAACTTAGTAAAGCTATGTTCAATATGAAACACTTTTTGAACATTATGATATGATATGAACTATTTCTGAATGATACAAAAGGCTATTTTGTGATTACAAGAATGATGATCCAATTCTTTGAAATGTCTTTGTGGTATCTTTAGCAGAGGCCGTTGCCCAGGGTAAATAATAATATGGCTTATGGCCATGAGGCCCTCGCCCAGGGAAAACAATATCGTGGCCCACGTATGAGATATGTTACCCGATACTGGAAGTTCCATTATGGAACTTGATGACGTGATATGCATGACCAATGTGATATGTAACGTTAAAGGAAGTATCACGCATGATTTGAATATAAATATGAATATGAATATTGTAACGCCCTCAAAATAATAACATTAAACCAACATTTTAGACATGCATTGATACAAAAGAAATCAACCATTTCTATTCATCAGAGTAATTCTTACAACTGTATTACATGTTAACAACAAAAGCAAATGCCCTAAGGGCTTACAGCTTTCCAAGTTAACACTTGGTTACAAAAAGAAGAGTACTAACTCAATACATATTAAGCCCTTGGCTTGAATTTACATGTAATACATCAAAATAAACAAAAGAAAGAGTCTTCAACTCTCATCATCATCCAAGCTATGTCCTTGGGGGTGGCATACTACCTGTACCTGAAAATAATGTCCCATAAAGGGTGAGCCAACGCCCAGTAGAGATATGCTAAACACAGTATGAGCAGTAATTAAGACATTAGATAAGCATACAAGCTGTATTGAACCTCAACAGACAAGCATATAAGCTACATCAACATTTCAACAGACAAGCATACGAGCTATATCAACACTTCCATAGATAAACATATGAGCTATATCAACACATTATCTGACAAGCATATGAGCTGTATCAGTGGAGTCCATCCCCTATCTCCTCCCAAACAACATCCGGTTTAGAGGTCGATCCCCTATCTTCCCCTAAACCGTGGAGTACATCCCATATCTACTCCCACACACACAACATATATACACAAAGGTCATATACGCAATTAATCAATACATAACGTTAATGTATTCTATCAACCGTCATACTCTATGACATATCCAATTGATTAGTTTTAGTTTGCCTAATCATCATGCATTGTCTACAATAATCAAAACTACCCTTCACCAGTAGCCCAAGCAGTTATTTCTAAACAGATAATAAAAGCTCCAACAGATAAAATATCAATCCTTTCAACCATATAATGAGTCAATTTCATTATTTCCACCTCAATTCCATATAACTACAATTTTCCCAAATTAATTTCACCAATTAATTTTAAACAACAATTTAGGGCTTTTACCCCCAACTCCCAATATTGACTCAAAGGTCCCAATATCAATAACCAACAACTGTATCATCACTTTGAAACCCAAAATACATGTTATGAGCCCAAAATCACAAAACCCCTTTTAACACATTTTGAAACCCTAGGTCCCAAAATTTTCCAAACTCAACACTCTATCAAAACAACTAAAAATCTACGTCAAAGACCATAAGAGTGAGTAGGAATCCCTACCTCAAAAGATGACACCCAACGAAGAGGATGATGAAAACGAACTTGTTCCAAACCACGAGTTTCTCGGATCAAAAGATAGCCCTCGACGATCAACAACTCTTTTGTAAAGGCCAAAGGTGAGGAAAGCACCCTAGCTAGATCAATACTTAGAGAGAAGTTAAGGTTTTAGAGAGAGGAGCTCTCAAATGGCCTTTTCGGAAAAGTAAGAGAGAGAAAGAATGAGAAAAAGTGATTTAAAACTGCCCCACAGCCAACTGATATAGGACATTCCCGCTCGAGCGGAAAACACAACGCTCGAGCGTCAAGAACAAAAACTGGGTCCGCTCGAGCGCAAAAAGGCCCGCTCGAGCGCCAAGTCACAAGAATAAAGTAAATCCGCTCGAGCGCGAAGACCAGTCCGCTCGAGCGTAGATTTCCCCCTCCCAGAACTTACACCCAAAGGTACTACCCGCTTGAGCGCCAAAGTACCCGCTCGAGCGCCACCGCTCCCGCTCGAGCGTAAAAATCACACCTGCAGAAGTTTTGCAGGGACACGAAAAACTGGGAGTGTGCAATCTCCACTCGAGCGCAACAAGGCCCGCTCGCGGAACGACCAAAAACTTGGCAACAAGATTTTAGACCAAGGTTCAACCCACCTGTTCGAAACATGCCCAACACATCCTAAAACTCAAACAAATGGAATTAAAGGACAACAA